ACACGGACGTACAACGTATTTGTATTTAGACTTTCATGATTTCTGGTGCTTGAGTGCAGTGTGACAGAGTATAATGACGACTGGAACAGGGGACAGAAATTGAGCAAGTGAACTCATGCGTAAACGGAAAAAAACTTATCAAGAAATATGAAAAAAAACAAAGGTTGACGGCCATAGGACGTGATCTTGGTCTCATCATCAAGAACATTGGGAAGTTGCCTGTACGGTTGGGCACAAATATGATATCGAAGAACTGATTTACTCACTCGAGATGAATTATCAAATGCAAAACTCATCGAGTTGAAATTCACTAGATTTTATTAAACTGGGCTTTGAAACGAGGACACGGACCGAAACATTTTGAGATGACGTTGCCCTGAGCATTCAACAAAAATGACACTCTTTGAGAAGATGGATCATAATTAATATCTCACTGTTTCCAAAAGTTCTATGAGCAATGACGTTTCAGCCGGCCATCGTGTAATTCATAAAGCAAAGAAAAAAGCCTCTCTTCAGTCATTTCTTGATAATTTAATAAAAACGGACGAACGGCCAAATGAAACATTTTATTTTTCGATTTTCTCATACTATTTATTCTGTTTCATATTGCTTTGCATGAATAATTACATAATGAAATCTAATTCGCGTCGTGTGCGAATCCTGTGAATAAAAGTAACAGAAAAAAGCTTCAAAGCACGTTTAAATTCTACTGTGCTGTAATACACATATTGCAATGAGGGGAAATTGACGAGTGGGCGTGAGGTGCATCCGACTTACATAAAATTCGTGTAAGCGTCTGTGGAACCTAGCTCTTGCGCAAGTCGGGTCTGTCTGCCTTTGCAAATTCAGTTCTCCAAAACATGAACTTTCGTTTGAAACAAATTCTAGAAACAGAATGAAAACAAGCGGAACACCATGAATCATAGCGAATTGGTTCGACCCGCATAAAAATACACCATGCTGATTTGCTGTTGCTCTGAGAACTGACCAATCATTGTCTGAAACGTCAGCATAGTTTTCACGCCTAATCAACTGTTTGTGACATCCCAGCGTCATAATTTCCAGCACAATGAAATTTTGCAACGTATTGAATGTTTCCTGATATCCTGTTGCCAAATATTCGTTTTTATAAGAAGGGTAATGCGCAGCCACAGTTCAACATTGCCAAAAGATGGAAGAATCAGAAAAAGTATATCACGCTGATCTGAATAATATTTTTTCATGGCAGAAGGGTGCTCTGACTAAGAGCTATGCACAAGAACTGGAGGTCCAGTCATCCAAAGACGGCATATCTGCATCGCACTACTTTCTTTAAGGTTCGAACGAATGTACAGCTGCCCTTCAGGTGCAAAGTGAAGGAAAGAATCATAAATATACAGAACATGTTGGGGGCTACTCTTCGGTTTGACGTTATAACAGGACTTTACTGTAGGTTTGTTATCCATACTGTTGTTTGCAAGGACACCTGATCTGCAGGAACACAGGTTACATGTTCTGTGTAATGAAATACGCGACAGCTTGGTCATTGCCCATTTTTCCTAATGTTCATACTGAACATTTCCTTTAAATGTAGCGGAGGCGATCAGTGCGTGGGACTCTTCAGCAGAAGCCCGGACGCGAACTGCCAACAAATAAAAACTACAATCAGACAGATGGTGACTTTTGACGTAATCGACTGACGTCACTGATGGGCTATACAGTTTTCAAATTACGTCAAGGTGTTGAAGCAAAAATCTATTTAATGCAAGCGAGGTTGCTAGATAACAGAAACAGATAGGAATTCACAGTTATGCTTATTGGAGGCAGAGGAGCGTTAACCACGTCTGAGAGTGATCATTAAACCGGTGACGGTTGTCGAAGCCCGTTCA